AGGCAGTTGCGCAAGGAAGGTGCATAACCGATCCCTCATGCGAGACCCGTGGACCTTGTTACCTACATCACAGACTAACCTCGACCGAAACATAACGTAATGAATAAACAGCACTTATCTATTTCTGTAAGGTTTTTTTATGGCGAGGGAGATGTTGGTTCGGTAAGATATTAGGAAAGAGACTTCTCTTGCGGTGGGAAAATTTCAGTTTAGTAAGGACTTTACTTGTGGCAGGAAAGATTTTAGCTTGGCAAAAGGTTAGGAAAGAGACCTTTCTTACGGTAGAAAGACTTTTCTCGTGGCGGAATTATTTTAATTCGGAGAGACCTTTCTCACAGTAGGAGGACTTTCTCGTGGCGGAAATAATTTCAGTTCGGAAAGAGACCTTGTATCATAACTTACAGTATATACGTAAATATGGGCCTATTATACACGTGAAGGTTTCACAGACGAAAATATGACGTCACAAATTTTTTTAATCTACAGTATATCGTAAATCACACGATCTGGATATCACAAATGCTGTAATACACATGATAAGTGTCAATCATAATTTTGTGTTCAGTAACATTTTTCGGAAAAAAAAAAGGTAAAGTATATATATATATACTGTATATATCTTTTCGAGCATTGTTTGTAAATTACGTACTGTATATATAATTAATGAAAAAATATTTCCGTAGAGGACGTTCCATTTACTATTGCTGGTACATCTGGCACAACTAGTGCATCAACACAAGGCAAAGGTGCCGAAATATTTAAAAATATTCCTCCACTGCCAACGGGGCTATCTAGTGATAAAGTAGTCTTATTACAGGTATTATCTTGTAGAGGAGTCATCCATTGCCGTCTGCAAAAAAATAGGTTTTGGGGAATTCGCATTGGCTCTTTGTTTAAATCTGGGCCAAATATGGCAATAATCAATCAGTGAAAATTAGCTTCGATGGAGAAGATGTGAATGATTTGATAGAAGCGATAAAGAAGAAACTGTCACCCAAGCTGAATGATATAGCGACTGATGATGTTACTTTATGAAGGCATGGTAAAGAGGCAGATTTGCGTGCGGATTTAATTGTTGATGAAAGTTTTGTAAATACTTATGACACACCTCTACAAGTCATTTTAAATGTACCTGGTATGTATTCAAGTTTATTGGGAAAGAACAGATTAAAATAGTTATAAAATTTTGCGACGTTAATTATTTTCTGTATTTAGAACAACCTTCTAGCAGATGAAGAAAAATTAATAATAACTATAATGATGAATGTCTTGAAAAGGTTTGAAACGCTTTGAAGAATACGACAGTAGCAGGTCAGTTCTTTCAACTGTCCAAGGACACTTCCTATATTCTAGGCAGAGATGATTATGGTTCTGACATATCCACCCTGTTTATCTGTGATTGCTATCTCCATTTGTCCGAGACCATTTTTTAGAATGTCAATATCTTTCATTGGCATATTACCGGCAATCCGATAATTAGAAAAACCTTCCTCAGTTATTACCTATTTTATCAGCTTGCAAAGCAAAATAGAACAGTAATATACCATCAAAATGACAGGTCTCTGATTTTTTTCAGCGATAAAAAAGTTTTAAATACAAAAGATACTTATAATTTTAGAGATTGCTTGGAAATAGAAGAAGTTTGGTATCATGGATGCATTGGAGCTGATGCAATGTCGCACAAAAATAATTCTTGTCTGTTCGCCCCAGAAAAAGTACTATAAAATGTTCGATCAACTTGAGATAGATATTCAGTACATGCCAGTGTGGTCTTTGCTAAGCTCAATCTATATAGAGATAATATTAGGCTTTTCCAAAACTTTATTCAAAAGCAGTTCGGGAATTGTATAATAAATGGGGAGGGATTACTTAATATTTCTTATTTCATGCTCTTGATTCTATCCAGCAAACAATGTATTCACAAAGAATCTCTACATGAGATGCACCAGTGGCAGAGATCATTAAAGGAACAAGGGGCCCAACCCCAAACCAAGAGAAACAGCCCCAGTACATATGACCTTAGCTATAATTAGTAGTGCTACTCAAACATTCCAGATCTCACTTTTTGTTCAGTTCACATCAAATTTGACAATAAGAGATCTGAAAAAGACAAATTGTGATTTCATTAGACCACAAGATATGCTTGAACTTTCAAACAGTTCAACCTTCATAAGCATGGGCCTAATTGAGTCTTTTTTCGATATTGGTGAAGAAAACAAATGACTTGGAACAAGTGACACATGATCTTAAGTTTTTTTTTATATAAAGCATGATGAATGGTACTTTAAGAAACTTTTTTTTTTATGTTGTGAAGAGGGTAGTGATCTGGGAGAGAGTTAATTGGTGATTTCTTTGAATTAACCTTTTTAGTTTTTTATAATCAGTGAGGTGAGAAAACTTAAATGTCCAGAACATTTTTTTTTTTTTGCACAAATTCACCTGATTTATAAAACTCATTTATTATATTTCAGGTGGCACAACCCACAAGGGTTGCAATCTGGCATACTAAATCTTCTCTTAGGTATCCATAAATGACAGAACTTCTTTGTCTCTTCATCAAATCCTTTTTGCTACTTATTTTAAAAGAAAAAAATCTGATTGCTTTTTTTTATAACAATCTGTGATACACAAACCTTGTTTAAAATTTTGTGTAACACCGCTCATGTGTTGTGCAACATTCAACAAAAATTATAAGCAAAAAAAAATGTATTTTTGAAAAAAATTTTTTTAAAAAAAACATGATTTTTGCTTTCAGTCTTATACAAAAAAGGTAATGCTGAGTCATCGCCACATACCATCTGCATGACTGGATGGAATTGCACAAAATTTTAGTATATTATATATCAAGTTTCAATAAATATATGCCAAAAAATTTATAAAAAATAAGTTACTATAATTTTAAATAATTAAGTGTAAAAAAATATCTATAATAATATGATAAGTAGTTGTATTTTGTAATTATCTTGTTTTATATAAATTTTTATTTCTTAATTTAATATTAAATATTTAATATAAATTTTTTTTTGGTTTTTTTCTTAACATACTATATATTATATTATGAATTTATAAATCTTGTAATCACAAATCTAAAATTATTAATAAAAATAAAGCATGGGGACTATCTGTTTCTTTAAAAAATAAATAAATAAATAAACAAAAATTTTTTAATACAAGTATATAACAAGTTAAATGTTAACCTATTTACTAACACTAGTCTAAATTGGGTTATTCGGCTGCTGAATTACAGCCGATTAAATCCAAATTTATTAATAAAAGTTTATACCGAAGTTTTGT